GTTCACGTATTCCGTTTGTCCGCCGTGTTGATGATGCATTCAACGCTCGTTTGTGATCTCTCCTTCGTCTCTGCTTTGCTCTGGGATAACGGACATTGGATGGCTACTATCGTTGACGAGATTGCGCAACACAGATTGCATCCACGAATGTTCGCTAATACTCTAATTTGTGATTCAACACGAATTTCTTTACGATCTAATAATCAACTAAATCTGAATAAAAATTTCCATCGGCAATAACACAAACGAACCAGTGTGTCAAACACAAACGAAGAAATTAAGTATACGTTTCACAATGCAATAGAAAATTATGAAACGCAGATAACAAAATTTAGACGTCAACCGAAAATCTATTTCGCAGACTTTTCCATGCACTCATTTTTTATTCGTCGCGCGAACGTGTTTTAATATGAACGTCAGAGCGTGGGCGTAATCGATATCTGCCATAAGGTTGGACAGGCTCGCTATCGAACCGTTCGGTTTAGTCGTACAGGTATCGACTTCCGTTTTCGGGTTACGTAAGTCCGTACCGGAAATACAATGAGTACGTGACTCCTTTATCAAAGGAAATATTCGAATAGAAGCAGCATTTACACGCGTGAACGATCCAGAACTGTTGTACGGGACCGTTTTCTTTTTTCTGTCTCTCTTCCCAGCCCAGTTCGACAGGGGTGCGAGCCAATAAACTGACACATGAGAACCGAGCGACCCTGGTCAATGATATCGACTGTCTCGATGAACCGGGGGTTCGTTTAACACGTTTTAATGGTTCTACAGTTACGGAATTTGACATTTTTAAATAAACAGACATTATTTAATTTAAATACATTTTGCTGTTCCAGCAGAAATATCCGAAGTCGATAAAATTGTTAATATAATTATTAATAATTAATGAATTGTATTATTCCACTGAAAATTTTATAAATACAACACTGCGATCGTTAATAATTTTTTTAACAAGATGTAATAATTATCGAAGAAATATTCATCCAACAAGAGTACAGAACTACAATTTCTCGTGTTATTTCGAACAATTACCATGAACTGGATGAAAGCTCGTGAAACCATAGGAATAATTAAACGTTCGCCGAAATAAAACCGGAAACATTGTACTTAATTGAATCCCTTCATTACCTGTTATTAACAACGAAATTTATTCCATACATGTCAAATGTCGACTGAAGATAATAGGAAGTACTGAAATATTCAACGTCGATTAACAAGGCCGAAGATATTAAAAATATCGATCACGGTTTTTGTATTCGACCGTGTATACCGCCGTATAAACGCGCGCGTGTTCAGTCGGCGATTTGCTTGCGATTAGCAAATATTTGCATGTTGAACGCAGGGAAAGTCGATACCGCGGTCGTAACATTATCGAGCCGTTTAAAAAATCGGCGATTCTATACGATAGTAAAAGAAAGGACCGCGTTTTATCGAAATGCAAGCGAACGGGGGGGAATATCATTGACTCGCACTACTTGACACCCTGCCAGCTCATTTATTGACGCATACCACCGCGCGCGGTAGGACGGCCCCGTTCGAAAACAAACAAAATTATCCGGTTTACAATCTCGTGTTACCTCTATCGAGCAGTCGTGCGTTCACTTAATCCTGTTTTCTCGAAACACGCCCGAGCTGAATTATTCCAGAAGAGAGGAATTACAAAACTGTCTTTTACGTTAAAATGTTAAATTAAATTATACAAATATGATTGTCTGAAATCTGTATAAGGATTTGGTACGATTGATGTTTATCAGAAATTAAATCGTATCAATTATTGTTAAGAATCTGTCGTCATAATTGGATACAATCTCCAATTACGAGTATAATTTAATTCTACAGTCGAATCGAGATCAAGCTAAATTGAATTGAATACCAAGATATTCCTATCAGATACTAGTAGACTTAACTTGTGAGTCAGATCCCATTTAACCGGTTCCACGATCAGGCAGAACGAAATTCATCGAAATGGAAGGGAATCAAAGGGTTCCGATCGATCAGGGAAGATGCAAGATATTGTGCCTCGAGATCCGGCGTTCACCATTTAATAAAAGATGTGGTCACAATTAGAGCGCGAGAGCCAACAGCCGCTCAACACGATGTACACCGATTTCCAGTTAGCCAACAGACAGAATAGGCAGAGTCAACGACAAGAGAGGAGAACAGCCAGTGGGCAGCCAAACTCCCTCCCCCCAATCCCAATTAGCCACGCATTATTAACGCGTACTGTACACAGGCCGCGTTTACGACCAGCCCGGACCCGCGTTCCATGGTTAATTGTTAGCAATTAGCAGGAAGAATGAGCTAGCAATCTGGCAGAGTCGCCGGGACGAAATTATTTCGCTGGCCTACGAGCGGGATTCCTTTTAGTGGAACTTGTCCCTTACCCCCTCCTCTCACCCTTTCTGATCTCTCTTTCCTGATTTCGTGAAAAAAAGGACAGAAGAAAGATTGAACTTTTCCTCTTTTGTCAAATGAGATTTGCATTAATATTTTATTCTGTTTTTTACAAGAATGCTAATTTAAAATTCTGTTTATCTGTATCATATAACGTCCTATTTGATTTATTAAGTGATTTTAGTTGCGCTGTTAAAGATTAAAGATTTTTGATAGAAACAAAATTTTTGTGCAGTGTCGCTGAGTTAACATAAGCATAAAATTTGTGAGTCCATTTGATTTAATTAATTTCATAGGTAAACGCTATCAAATTAATTACCATTTCTGGCTTATTAATTACATCCATCGCTGTCAATTATCGTTATAGGTCATATTATTAATCATGGTAATTAATCTCTAGCCTGCCCTCATTTAACACCGACAAACAGTACTACATAAAAGAAAGAACAGAATTGATCGCTGCAAAATTATGATTTTATGCTATCGATATTTTTCTCGTTGTCAAACATATCTTCAATTTGGAATCAGTAAAAGAATGAAAATATCAAATTATTTCTTCACCGTTCTCCAAAAAATCATCATGACTGTACCATCGAATTTTGGACATATAAAATGGGTGCAACACGTGTATCGTACGGTCTCGTCACGTGGATCGTAGATGAACGAGATTCTCAGGGTACAGGAAAGCCCGACGCAGGATCTATAAGAATGCACGAGGTAAAGCAGGACACGTCGGGATGCAGAGGGAAGAGATTACTTTTCGAGTACTCGTTGTTCGTTCGAGAGAGCCAGAAAGAGGGTGTGAACGACGAGCGTGGGATGTGTGTCGGTATTAAGAAGAAGAGGAATAGATAATCACGTGAGCTCTACGATGCAAGGCCGTGCAGCGTAGCAGACAGTGCTCAAAAGGAGGTCGCAAGAGAGTGCCACGCGTCGATTTCGATCTCGAGCGACTCGTCAGGTCCGCGGACCCGCTGTTGTCAGTCGTGTTCGGCCCTGCCTGTGATTCATGATCGTGTGCAAACTCACCTGTACGCCTCTCGGGCAGATTCAGCGTGGTGGCGCGGAAGTGAACTGTCTCGCTGCGACCCTTGTTGTTGCTCGCGTATATCTGTACGTCGTAGGTGGTGCCCGGCTCGAGATTGCCCACCGAGAACGACGGCACCTTGCTCGTCTGGTTGTAGACTGTGGTGCTCGGCTTTGAGGATGTACTGCTGGCGCTCGGCTCCCGGTCCACCTGTATCGTGAACTTCTGCGGCAAACCGCCGTCGAATCCCTCGGTGCACTCCACGTACAGAGAGTCCGTCGTCTGGTTCAGCAGCGAGCAATTGTGCGGCGTGTCCGGGTGACCTGGAGTGAGAAAGTTAGCTTAGTGTACGCGAATCAGGGAGCCGGAAGTTTCGGGCTTCTCACGAGTAGTTATCGTGGATCAGGTAGCTTGTGTTCTTGGGGAGGATCCAAATCGCTCGCGGTGTTTAAGCAATTCAATAGAAGAAACAGTGTTATACACGTAATTAATCGTTGATAGAATGTAAAATGCTTAAGCAATGCAAGCGCCGTGTATTTGTATGTATCGTCGGGTCCAAGTATGAAACTGAATTTAATCATGCATTAAATTTTTATGTCGCCTCCTAATATATTTTTCTTGTATTGGCGTACACTGCAATAGTAGAAATAAACTAACAATAGTTTATATTACGTTCGAACGTAGCCGGTGATTCGTCTGTACAACTTCTCTCTCATTTTTCCGCTGGGAAAGAGCGATCGTTTAAAAAGTAACAACTTCGTCGGTTAAAGACGCAGTAAAGCTATCTCTATTCGACAGAGGTATAGCGTCGTTTCGTGTGCACTGGGAGCACAGCTCTCTGGGATAGCTGACCCGTGATTGCGTCGAGAGGGCGAGAGATGAAGCGACTCGAAGTCGGGGAAACTACCACGACAAACGTCCTTTTCTTTCTCTCCCTCTCTGTCTCGTGAAACGGGAACAGAATACTGAGAAGCATCCTCGGCAAGCGTCCACGTACGAACCCCGTCGAAATTGATGTTTCTCGAGCGACGACGTCTTTAATCAACGGATACGAGCTTAGTTAGGTTTTCGTATCGGTGTATATCGAGCAGAATTCGCGTTTTACGCACAGTCCGGCTTAACGACGACCTTTTATCGCACCCTACCGAGGTTTACTACCTTCCGGGGCACTAAAGCGCGTTCGTCACGTTCGTCCACGAGCTAGCCCGACGAGATGCTTCCGTGTGACACGATGCACCACTCTTTAGGACTTTTCGTGAATTTCCAAATGTTTGAAGTTTAATACGCAGAGAAATATATAGAATGGGGAACGATTTGTTTTTTATGTTTGAAATTGTACAGAATTTGTGTTCCGATTACGATATTTGAATGAACGTAGTGCCGCGTAAAAAGTAATCAATTCCGTCAATTGGTGGAATGCCGATTTTCGGTTGCGTTCCGTTAAATTGTCATCAAACGCGGGAGACATCAGGAAGGGACAACCGGCCACGGGTATGAGGAGGCAATTCGTCTTTGTTTCTAATCTACATAATGAGGAAACTTTTTAAATCTAATTTACGTCTATCAAGCGCATCCCCAAGAGACATTTCCCTTTCGGATTACTCGTCTCCCAGTGTTCTCGCTCTCCACCGTAAATCTGAGCGATTTATATTTACTAAAATCTTAATTTCTTGCGTTGCGTGAGCCGCTACGTAATTAAAAACGAAGTTTTCTCATAAAACGACCACGAGCGCTGCGTGGATCCGGATGGGAGCGCAATCTTCAAAGCGAAGGTATTATTCGCGACGTCTTTGCGCCGATGCACTTAAGGTAATACGAATTCTCGTTGGATGAAAGGATAATCCGAGGACGCGATCGGACGCCTTGGAACGTTGTCTCCTCGTTAAAAATGAATGTTTTAATGTCGGGAGATAGTCAGCCTCGCGGGATCATTCTTCATCCTTTTCAACATGGAAATTCTTTGGAACGTTAACGCTCGTTCCCTCTGCTTTTAGTTAAACAAGATCTCTTTCAAGAATTTAAACAGAATAAAAACGTTCTTGCGTAAACGTAGTAAATATTTATATAGAAGAAAAATTGTAAAACGTTTAGTTATATGCACTAGTTAGATTTCGAGTTCCATATACTGTACGGTTCGAAACTACGTAGCATTTAATGTGATACTCACCGGCTGGCACGATGTGGTAAACACAGGGTTCGAGTTGTGTGCCCTGATCATTGGTACCCCAACAGAGAAGCGTGCCGTAATCTAATTCCGTCATCGGCGTGTAAGATGCTATGGAACGGGTTCGTTCGCTGGTGACGTGTGCCTGAGGTATGTCGATCGCTTCCATCGTGTTATTGAACTTCCACGTAAATGTTACTTCCGGCGGATTTGCCTCCAGCTCACAAGGTATTTTCGCGGTCTCTTGTCGAGCCACACCGAATACCTTCACCTGGCCTTGGTGACATACCGGTGTAACTAGAAAAAAAACCAAATTGATCTCTCTTATAACTTTTAATACCCTGCGTTTTATAATATTCAAAATTAATTTGTATCAGAACATTTTTTATGTTGTTTACTCTTGAAAATTTCTTATTAAACACAACGTTTTAAATGTGAAATACATCGAACAGATTAGGATGGTATTGGTATTATCTGCATGTCAACGTTCCTGTCTGGCTCAATTAGATGTTGAACGGTAAAACCCAAGTTAAGCCTTTTGATTCACGACTTTGACGATGAATGATCGACTGGTATCTAATATTCGTACTAGGGAAAGGTAACGTGATTATGGAGCACTATCCTTAATTAAACATTAATGATACAATCGACGTACGCGCGTCATTTCCAAGTCCTTGTCAACCGCAGCCAGGAGCAGTATCAGATTTCATGGTAACGTCTAGTATATTATACGTATACATGGCTACATATATGTACGCATACATATGCACATCACGTAATACATGATGAACGCCGATGAGAAACTATCTACTCTCGAAGGGTAGTTAACACTGTTAAGGTTGCTGATGCGAACTCACGGTACCCATAAAGTGAAGTGGAATGTCTTTAAAATTTAATTCACGTTAATACTGTTACCGCTTCGTACCTTTAAGGGATATTAATAATTTATTGATAATAACGATACAGTTCGTGTGGAAAAGGAAGTACGAAGTGATCCATTTTATTTTTACAGTCCCAAAAATAAAATCGAACAAATTTTATTCATGTCCTTTCCAAAATGCGAGCTTCCTCCATTTCATCAAATACAACTTTCAAAATGCACGTACTTTTACGATATTCATACGAAGAAGTTAAGTTCAAACCAATTTCAAATTCCTCCATACTTCAAAAATTCAACCGTTCAAATTTTATACATTCCTACAATATTTACGAAGTTAGTCAGCGTTCTCTTTCTCCTCGAACGACGATTCTCTTCGATCCTGATTATCCGCATATCGAAGAAAATTCATGAAAGATCTGCCATCACCAACGTAACGTAATTGTACAAATATCAGGAAGTAAAAAGAATGATCTTTCAAAATTTCATTTGACCGGCGACCGTTGGACGAGTCGAGTCCGCAGGGAGGGAACGAGTGACAAAGTTTTTGACGTCCGTGATAGGACGAGGGAGGCGGCAGGAGGTTACGACAGACGGGTGCCGGATATCGTCCAGAATTTCCTGAGTGATCTAATCAATGAAAGGTCAGCCCTCTTTTCCACTCCCGGTTCTTCCTCCTCGGTGTACGATCTCCTATGTACGCACACGTCCTTTTGCTCTCTTCTCTTCTACGTACAAAGTATTATTGAATTTCTACGCGAACCGAGGGAGACTTCCGTTTCTCTCGTGGAGTCGCCTGGGATCTCTCGCCAGGATGCACCCGGGTATCTCCTCTCCCACAGCGTCGTTGTAGCTGAATGTCAATCGTGGAAACTGTTGGAAGTAACGATCGGCCTTCAAGGACTGGGCATACTATAAATCTGAGAACGGTGATTGAAATGCACATGCAAATTCATATTTTCATATAAATAGCAGGCTGCTACTCGAATTTTATTTTCAACAAATAGAATGTGGATCCTTTGTCTGTTTTGTATAATTAGTGCAATTCCAGTTTCTTTATCATCAGTTATGATACATATTTCACGGTTGAACGTCGGGAAGTGTCAAGAAAGTTGAGATAGTTTTGTACTGTTTCAGTTACAGTTGGAAGATATATCGAGAGTTCTCTTGGGAGATACTTTAATGCCTTTGTTTGAACGGTTCTTGAAATATTAAGTGTCAGGAAGTGAAATGATGTATCTGTCGATATTCATGTCATAGTTGATGATAATAAATGCGTTTACACATATCGCGTTCTTTTAACACGTCTTAAATACGTTATTAGTACCAATAAAATGGTAATAGTTATTTAATAAAAAATTCGGGATTGCATTTTTGCGTTTTAACATTAATTCTAATAGTACTTCGAAGTTAATAACGTTTAACAGCAGTGGTCGATAGAAGTGAAAGTACAGGATGTTAAAAATTCTAGCGACGATGCACGTCCCGACAGATCTGTTCGCGTCTTATCGAGTTTTCAAGTTTTGATTCTACTGACGTATTGTCGCAGACACGTCCGCGAAATTTCGCGGCATCCACGACCGGAACTTCCTATCGATTGCTCCCACTGACAATAACGAATTAATGCCCGTCCATTAAGCATTAATGACACATCGCCTGTGGCCCCGGTACGTGCCAAGTGTCTCTGGTAACTATCATGCCGATTTATGTTGGCCGAATGCATAATTCAGTTGTCGTTTGGCTCGACATCATTGTGAAGGGACCGAATGAGTCGCGTCCGAAATTGCCGATGCCTCCATTCCATCGTGACACTCCTCGATAAGCGTCCCACCCGGACTTCTCAAAATTATTCAAATTATTTTATGTTTCACTGATAAACATAAAAAATTGTAATTCGTCGATTCTATATATTTTTTTAATAACATCTCGTTCCCAATTAAAATGAAATTCCAGTTATACGACATGGAGCACGTAACATGGAGAAGCAGGAACGTAATTATTGTAATAGTTATAAAGAGCAGAGGAACTCGTCGAGCGAGATGGAGAGCGTAAAGTTTGTAAACGCGTAAAAGGTATGCACGCTCGCGTCTGTTTTGGTGCAATATTTATTGCGAGAGCGGGAGAAGTTTTCAGAAGTCAAGTGTAACTGCGACGTATGAGGAGCGAGAATTTTAGGAACACTCGTGAACGTTCGAGTGGGCAAGTGGTCGCCGGTGTATGTGAGGGAGGGGGCGAGTTCTTTTAAGAGTGTGTGGCAAGAGGGAACGAAGCGAGAGTTCAAAGAGAATTTTTTAGCGACTGTTCGGAGACCGAGTTCTGGCAGAGTGTGCCTGTTGAACTTTATAGCATAATTCGTTTAAAAAATTGCGCTACACGTTTGTAAAATGTTTCTCCCATTCTGTGTACTATAATTATTGAATCATAGTATATTCGGTTTATTCCCATTGAACCAAATAATTGCATAAAAATGTCTTTAGGATAACATCCAGACGAATATTATACATCGGTACGAAATTGTACTAAACGTTAACGTCTCCATGTATTTAAGGATGAATTGGCTATACAGTCAATCCCAAAAGTATATGTATCTTAGAAAAACGCATTTCCTATAATTAAAAAGAAA